GTCCGGGCTGGGGATTCGAACCCGCCACCTTAGGTGTACGTGGCTGGCGCCTTAGCCGGTTGAGCTATAGGCGCCGAGCCCAGACTTCATTTTTAAATGTGAAGATTTTTACTTTTCAAGAGATTTTTTTCTTTTTTAAAAAAAACTTTGATTCTAAATTAACCCTTCAGTAATAATCTATGGCACCACATAGGTAGGCCATTAACAAAGCCCGGTTTTGACTACTCGGCTGCAATGCCTAGAACCTTGGGTGGAGAGGGGAAGCTGTAGTAAAGCAGTGTAGATACACACCCCACCTCTGATTCCCTGTGGCTCCTTTGTGGCATGTGAGAGCAGATCCAACAGGAAATGGACAGTAAAGAGAAGGCAGAGGGGGGTATAATCTGGGCCAATGAAGAGCTTTGTGCTGTGTTGAGTCAGTACAGGTTTCTGATAGATTGTGCCGGTAGGATAGAGAGAGCATCCCGTGTTGCCTTTTTCCTCTCTTGCCTACTCTGTACAGGCTGTCCTCTCAAGCTCAGTGTCTATTTCCTCTATGTCCTGTTAGCCCACTTGACTCTATGCAGAGGGTATAGCCAGTGAGGCTTGGCTCTTAGGTTCCAGAGGCCCACTTGTCATCACTGAATGCTGAAAGAGGTCCACAATTATGTGTCCTGTATAATGTAGCAAAACACAGTATACCATCACCTGAGTTTCCTAGGGCTGAGGTAACAAAGTACCACAAACCAAATAGCTTACACAACAGAAATGTATTATCTCACAGTTCCGAAGTCTAGATGTCTGAGGTCAAAGTGTTGTCAGGATGGGTGCCGCAGGGCCGTGAGGGAGAATCTGCTCCAGGCCTTTCTCTTAGCTTCTGCTTTGCTGGTGATCTTCATCATTCCTTGACCTATTAAGTGCCTCACCACAATCTCCACCTTCATCTCACATGCTATTTTTGTTGTGTGTGCGTCTATCTGTGCATCCAAATTTCTCCTACTCATATAGACACCGGTCATATTGAATCTTGGCCCACCTTATTTCCAAATAAGGTCATCTTCACTGGTGCTGGGAGTTAAGACTTCAACACTGGGGGGTTATAATTTAACCCATAACAACTGCCAAACTTAACTTTTTATACTTTTTTGTTGAGTACTTTTTAAAGTTATAAAACTAACCTGCTCATGGCCAAATCTTCAAACAGAATGGAATGTACAAAGTAAAAAATAAAAGTTGGCTTCCTCCCATCTACCTTCCTCAAAAGCAATCTTTATCACAGGTTTACTGTGGATACTTCCTGATATATTTTATCTGCACAGACATATATGTGTAGCTTTGTTATTATTTTACACAAATGGGATCATAATGGGTATAGTGTCCCATTACTTTCTTTTTTCAATTACCAATACTTAATGGGTATCTTTCCATGTGAGTGCATTAGAACTATTACTTTCACTTTTCACAGTTATATAGTATTCCATTCCATAGCTATAATAGAATTGATGTATTCAGTCTCTTATGGATAAACATTTCTCATTTTTGGCTATTACAATACTTAACAGTGAATATCCTTTTTTATTTTATTTATTTTTGAGACAGAGTTTTACTTTGTCACCCTCGGTAGAGTGCTTTGGTGTCATAGCTCACAGCAACCTCAAACTCTTGGGCTAAAGCAATTCTTTTGTCTCAGCCTACCAAGTAGCTGTGATTACAGGCACCTGCCACAACACCCAGGTATTTTTTAGTGACATGGGTCTCACACTTGCTTAGGCTGGTCTTGAACTTGTGAGCTGAGGCAGTCCACCTGCCTCGGCCTCCCAGAGTGCTAGGATTACAGGCATGAGCCACCATACCCAGCCGAATATCCTTTTACATATAAATTTACCTAAGTATGTAAAAGAGATGTTAAAGGTAAAATTGCTAGATCAAAAGGCATATGCGTTTTAAAATTTGATAGCTATTACCCCAAACCTCAAACTTAATGCTGACCTGTGAGGAAGACACATAGCTTTGTTGTATTGTCGAACTGAGTGATAGGAACTAGTTAGACTTATTGTTATAATTAGATTACACAAGGAGTTTTGGCTGGTTCATGGTTATGGGTTGTTGTTTTTTTTTAACTCACATGTTTTTGTCCTTGAGTATTTAAGGAAATTTCTAGCAAGAGCAAATTAAATTCTTTCTTAGATTTTCTATAATAGTTTTCTCAGTCTATTTGATTATCTTAGACAAATTTAAATTTTTCAAACACACAGGATTTAGAAAACTGGCAAATCAACTTCACTAGCATGTAAGATATTTTTATTAGCTCTGTTTCCCTCACAGATTTAGTTTTTGCTACATTAGTGTGAATATTTAGAATGATTCTTTCTCTTTACATTAGAAAAAAAAGACTTCCTTGTAGTTTTTAAAAGTAATATTTATAATATCTCAGTACAGAAACATATACAGAAGAAAATAAAACTTGCAACATTATCATACAGAATTAAGTATTATCATTCTGTTGAAGGCCCTTCTAGACTTTTCTATGCGCACATACTTTTTTTTTTTTTTTGTAGAGACAGGGTTTCACTTTATCCCCCTCAGTGGAGTGCTGTGGTATCACAGCTCACAGCAACTTCCAACTCCTGGAGTTAGGCAATCTCTTGCATTAGCCTCCCAAGTAGCTGGGACTATAGGTTCCCCGGCTATTTTTTGTTGTTGCAGTTTGGCCGGGGCCGGGTTTGAACCAGCCACCCTTGGTCTATGGGGCCAGCGCCCTACCCACTGAGCCACAGGTGCCACCCCATGCATTTTTTTTAGACAGATTCTCACTTTGTTGCCCTTGGTAGAGTGCCATAGTGTCATAGCTCATAGAAACCTCAAACTCTTGGGCTTAAGTAATCCTCTTGCCTCAGCCTCCTAAGTAGCTGGAACTACAGGCGCCCCCCACAATGCCTGGCTGACCTTTTTCTATTTTTTTTTTCAAGACAGAGTTCCTCTATGTTGCCCTCAGTAGAGTACTATGGCATCAAAGCTCACAGCAACCTCAAACTCTTGGGCTTAAGCAATTCTCTTGCCTCAGCCTCCCAAGTAGGACTACAGGTGCTGGCCACAACCCCCAGCTATTTAGTTTTTCTGTTTTTAGTAGAGACAGGGTCTTGCTCTTTCTCGGGCTGGCCTCAAACTCTTGAGCTCAAGTGATCCACCTGCCTCAGCTTCCCAGAGTGTTAGGCTTACAGGCATGAGACACCACGCCTGGCCACACATACATTTTTCCCCTGTGTTACTGGTTGCTTCTTTTTTTTTTTTATTGTTTGGGATTCATTGAGGGTACAAAGAATTAGGTTACATTGATTGCAGTTGTTAGGTAAAGTCCCTATTATAATTGTGTCCCGCCCCCAAGAGGTGTGCTATATACTATGACCCCCCCCATCCTCCGATCACACATACCTTTTTTAATTTACCACAATGGGACTATATATTCTTGGCTCTTTTCCCTTTTATAGACTTTATTTCAGTATACTATTTTGGCAACAACATTTCTATTACTATTATTCATTTCTCTTATTCCAAAGCTTATGGAGCTGGGAAACAAGCATGCAGTGAGGGCTTGATGTATTTCTCTGTGCCCCAAACTGTGTTAGGTGGTGGGCCAACACAGTATTTACCCTTGTGTCATAACCCACCCCCAACTAGATTGTGAGCCCAGTGAAGGTAGACCAATACTCATGCTGTTATGGTTCAAGGGAAAGTAGTACTACAGGGAGACGGCCAAGTAGGAAGCTGTGAAAGCACACAGGAGGAACACCTAACCTAGTCCTGGAAGATCAAAGAAGACTTGTTGGGAAGGGGCTAGTCACATGACAAGGATGGAGGCGTCAGCATGTAGAAGGGTCTGGAGGTAAGAAGGAGCATGAGAAATCTGGGCAGCTGTCACTGCTCACATCTGGCTGGCACACAACAGGGCTGTTAAGGTGGGAGAGGCAGATAGATGGTGGCAGGAGATAATGCTGAAGGTGCCAGATCACACTGTCTTTTTAAGCCATGGTCAAGACTTTAGGCTATATCCTGAGGGCTACCACTGAAGGGTTTTAAATCAGGAATCCTGTAAGATTCTTCCATTGGAAATGTTTGTTGAACTTCCTTACAGTTCTTAAATCTTATTTTATTTGCCTTTAGAACCAGGAACAATTGAAAGATGATGATTCTGATCTCATTCTCAATGATGGCGATATCAGTTTGACATACGGGGATTCGACTGTGAACACTGAATCAGCAACATCCAGCGCCCCTCGGAGATTTATGGGAAATAGTTCTGAGGATGCCTTGGATAGGGAGCTTGCATTTGGAGACCACGAACTGGTCATTCGAGGAACACGCCTGGTTCTCCCCATGGATGATTCTGAACCCCCATTAAATTTGTTAGATAATACGAGACACGGTCCAGCCTAAGCTTATTAATACTCACTTAGTGATTTGTCAAATTTGCACATGTGATTGTGAAGAAATCTGTACTACCTAAAAGTCCCAGTGCATGTCTCTGAATGTTAAGCTATATAAATGCTATTTATATGGCATAGAAAGAATATAAATATCATGTACAAGGCAGATTGTGAACCAACTATTCTTTTTTAAGTTTTACTGGCTGCACTATGTAGAGTGGGTCTGTTTTAGAAAGTTACTTCCACAGTGATGTTGTGTGTTCTGTTAGCTTTATGTCTCAGTTAAAGTATAAAAAGTGACGGATTTTCTCTTTCTTATATTTACCTGACACTTAACCCGAGTACCAAGTTGTCGTGATGTGAATTAATTTTACTTTTTGTGGTAGGGGAGGGAAGAGGGAAGAGGGATTAGGGATTGTTATTTCCTTGGGAACCCTGGGAGGAGAGGTTCCTTTGTTGGGAAACTTTTGTTGATTGCTGCTGCCTTTGTCCTGACCTTTTTCTTTCCCTTTTCTGTGGTGGCCCATTGTGGTGCAAGGAGCTGATGGCATTTTGATCTTGCCCATTCAGGTTGGGGAGTGAAGTGCAGGGGCCCTTTTTCCCCCTTGCTGTGAAAGAAAAGCTTCATTGACTACAGTATACTGCTGTTCAGAAAAGAAGGTTGCAAATGATTTCCAAGACCTTGTTTCTTTTCTTCCAGACCAGGACCACAGAAGGAGTCGCATCTAGCCAGCTTAGCCAAAGTACAGTTGTATATAGTTCCAGGCACTTCATTGAGATTTGAGGGAGCTGGGGCGGGCAGAGAGGGCAGAGGGCAAGAAAGGGGTAAAGTGAATGGTGGTTTCGGAGATCTCTCTTCCCGAATATGTACATATTCTATACCAGATAAGTTTAAATAAGAAATTTAATTGCTGCTTACTTTTTGATTATGTACCTTATCTGTATAGCAAGCTTTGTCGTCAGACATTTTTATATCATTTTCAATTGCTGCTCTTTAGCAGCCAAACAGGAGCAAAATGTAAAATTTTTGAACTTACTGTGTCTAATTGTCATTTGTTAGTCTGTAGTTGATGTTAAAAATTAATTTATGATCGTTCCACACTACACCAAATTTGGCTGGAAGAGAAACAGAATGCTCCACAGCGCTTATTTTAAAGTGGCTCCTTGGTGTGCAGCAGGTGTAGTCTTCATTTTCATGTTACTTTTTAATATTCAATACCTAAGCTGCCATGTTTTTTTTACAGTTTTCAAGGAAGAGCACAGAACAATTTCTCATTTCATATTTGGAGTATGAAAGTGGATTCTATTTTATAATGTTGACAATACCTAAAGATGCAGTGAATGCTGGGAAGGGGAATACTTTTTGATGTTGATCCTGACCTGTTAATGTTTCAGAAGAAAAATAGAAACTCTTTTGGATTTTTTTCCTCAGGTGTGAGTAGCATTGCCTTAAATCTTACCCAATCAGAAAATTGCTTGATTTACCTGATGTTCAAATTTTCCAGTGAAAAATATCCTTCTAAACAAAGCATGTACTTACTCTGAAAAAGGTATCTGTGCTGTTGCAAACACTCCTTGATATTTTAAGGGAATGTCAACGTTGTACCCTTTAGTGGCAGCTTTGACTGTTGGCATAGCCATTTGTTATGTAGTGGTAGCGACTTTCCTGCTATGCAGGAATCCCTCCCGTGAAGTGTACGTTTTATATGATGTGTGCCTCCTCACGCCGTAAATAATTTCGCGTTAATGTATGTTTGAGGGATTTGAATGTCAATATCATTTACTCACGAAGTTATTCAAGTTGTAAAAGGTTATACAGTAATTTAACAACTACCTTTTTTATTCTATCAGGTTACTGAGCTCACTTTATGTAAATATTCAGCATGACAAATTCAGTAACTCGTCTATTTCAGCATGCATAAGACTTTTCATTAGGGAAACTGATAAAGCTTGAGTCAACTAAATCTGCCTTCGTACTTTATCAAAGGGGAACCAAGCCTGCTGTGCTTACATCAGCATCTGGAAGATTTTTCTCTCCTCTAATCTGTGTACACATCTCCAAGCAAAGAAGAGAAAACACACTCTGCTCAGACGTCTGTTGGTTTTAGACACCTGAATGAATTTTGATGAAGGATAGTCTTGAGTTACCACCATACATACACAAGTAGAACTACTCTTGGACTTGTTCGTCTATTGTTTGTGGAACCTACACGTTTGAATGACTTGAACGTTGCATCTTTTAAAGTTATTTTTTAAGGTTTCTTGGCATTTATCCTAGTTGTCCGTGTTTGCCAATGTGCTGTTAAAGTAATAGACTTTTAATCTTTATGTATTTTTTGTTTTCCTTTGGACAGATGTTATAGTGGTTTCTTTTAGGAAAATCTGTCATTAAAAAAATTATAGCCTTGCAAATAACCACTCATCGTATTTGAGTCACAGTTTATTTTAGTGAGACGTAAAGAGTGCTGACTTCATTTATTTTTCTACCTATATACCTACTGGAAAAAGGGGAAGACTAATGTTTTAAAAAGAAAAACAGAAACCTAACAGAATTTAACTTATGGGGTGGCAAATTTTTGGTGCTTATGTGTGAGGGTTGTTGTATTTGCTTATGGTCACAATTGGACCATTTAGGAAATATGACTCAAAGCAGTTGGATTCCATTACATTGATTTGTAGCCTGTTAGCTCCATAATGGATAATGCTATGAAAATGTTCATTCCATTATATGGGGAGAATAAATTCTGGATTCAGTTAGGTAGAAGACAGTTCCAAGTTTGTCTGAAAGTATAATTGCACAAAAAGTCTTTCTTTTGAGGTTAAGATACATCTCTTTTTTTGTACATGAGAAGCTTTGTAGGTTAGAGGTTGCTGACAGCAACTTCTTTTAGTCTACTAGTGACACCAACCTCACTGTTGTGTTTTGTTGCCATCCACTCCAGCTTCCTCATTTATGGCATAGTGAGAGACATCAGTGAGGCCCACACACAACAGGCTTTTTTCTTGAACCAACCCGTGTTTTCTGATTCACCACAAAACCTTACATCACATACAAGCAAGTACATTTGTTAACCTGACCCAGTGCAGGGGTGTAAGGAGATGAAAGTACAGATGTTTTGACATGATCAGAAAGTCCTTGACAGGAAGTACATCACACAGATGATGCAGGAGGAGGCCTGAAAATACATTGCGAGTGATAACAATAGTAGTTCTTATTTTTCGAGCCCCTCCTAGGTACAAGCAATGTGTATCTGAGGTCTTTTTTAATCTAAGTTTTAATTTAATCTTATTCATGCTGTGAGGGTATGTTCTATTCTCTTTACACAGATGAGGAAAATGTCACGGCTTGTAAGTGAGAGCCAGGACTCAAATCCGGTCTGACTCCAAAGTCCAGATTCTCTGTGCTAATTTAGGAGGAAGATGAGGGGAACTACAGATCTCTAGCCTGCTGCCCACCATCTGCTTGTCATCAGGCGAGGTTAGGAAATCCATTCCAAACTCTGACCCTCCATTTGCTGCACTGTGGACTGTCAAACATGAGTCCCCCTGGTTGAGAGCATTCTAGCATTCATAGTGAAGGGCCCTCCTGTATCCTATCAAGGCCATGGACAAGCAACCTGGCAAGCAGCATTCCTTCGTGCTCTGCCTCCCAACATTTTCCCTAACAGCCCCAGTAGGTTGCGGTCCTGAACAAAGCCTTTGCATCCACATGGCTTGGTGTGATAAGGAAAGCCCAGGCTTTGGAGTTACACGGACCTGGGTTCAAACCCAGGCTCTGCTATGTGTTCTGTGATGTTGGCCAGGTACGTGACTTCACTGAGCCTTTCCATTTTCTTAGTTGTGAAGTTATTCAAGAAATATCTGAAAGCTTACTCTGTATACACAGCAGAGGGAGATAGCAAATAACTAAATAGTCCCAACTATCACGGAGAGGATTCTACGGGAGATACAGCTATCTCATGGGTTCTTAGGGATCATCATGTGAGAATGACTGCCTCCTTGTCCTTCAGTAGGGGGATATCTGTCTTAAGTAATCAACAAATAACAGCAAATATGGTAATCCTAAATGCTATGCTGGGAAAGTGCAAGGTGCTTTAAGAGGGTGCTAAGATCTTGTGCAGGGACAGGGTGAGATTTTCCTGGTAAGGTGATACTAAGCCTAGGTCTCAAGAGTGCATCAAGGGTCAGCCAGATGTAGGGCAGTGAGGATGAGGAGCATTTCAGGCAGAGTGAACAGTTAGCCTATAATGGATAGTCACACAACTTAGATTCAGATGATAGACACACTGTGCTGAGCTCTACTGTATACTGAATGACACAGATGTGGGCCACCCTCACAGCGCCTAAATGCATCAGTGAAGACAGTGAAGTAGCCAACAGTTCTGTAATTACAAGGGTCATGAAGAGCACCTTGAATCTGAATCTTGAAATCTGTCCCCCACCACTTCTTCCCCCTTCCCTTTGTCCCACTGAATCTCTTAGGGGATTCACTCCCCTCCTCTGTGTTGCTGATTTTAGACATTTGAAAAGAGGAGCTAGCTAGTATGTCTTCCCTGAGTCTGTCCCCAGGCTAAATAAACGAATTCCCTTTCTATCTTTAGGACATGTGCCAGAAGTCCATTGTTCTTGACGTTTTCATCAATACTCCTGAGAGTCACTGGCTTTGTTTCAGTGGCTGCATCACACCCAGTGCATCACAATCCTCACAGAGCTTGCATCCCATTTGGGGAAGGCAGATCACAGATTAAATGCACACATAAACTAATTAAAGGTTGGATAAGTGACAAATAGGAAATGTGATAGAGGATGATGGCCATGAGGATGCCTTGCTTAAGACGTAACAATAAAACCAAGACCTAAAAAAGCCAACCGGGCAGAGAAAAGGGGAAGAGCAGTGAAACGATCTGGGTGATGGTAGATGTTCAATGAACGTTTGTCAAAAAGGAGTGGGACTTAGCACCTGTGGCTCAAGTGGCTAAGGCGCCAGCCACATACACCTAAGGTGGTGGGTTCAAATCCAGCCTGGGCCTGCCAAATAATGATGGCTGCAACCAAAAAATAGCCAGGCATTGTGGCGGGCGCCTGTGGTCCCAGCTACTTGGGAGGCTGAGGCAAGAGATTCGCTTGAGCCCAGGAGTTGGAGGTTGCTGTGAGTTGTGATGGCATGACACTCTACCCAGGGGGGAAACTTGAGGCTTTGTCTCAAAAAAAAAAAAAAAGGAGTGGGACACCCTGCTGACCTTTATTTCACTGGATCCTGAAGGCCAGTGTGGCAGGATGGGAGAAGCAATAGGCTAACAGTCAGGAGGCCAGAGGCTTAACCCTGCCTGTCACTGGTCACTTTTCAGAACCCACTTCTCTGAGCCTGTTTCTTCCTTTAAAAAATGATGACAGGCTGGGCACAGTGGCTAATGCCTATAATTCTAGCACTCTGGGAGCCTGAGGTGGGTGGATTGTCTGAGCTCATGAATTCAAGACCAGCCTAAGAAAGAGCAAGACCCCCTCTCTACCAAAAATAGAAAAACAAGCTGGGCATTGTAGGGGGCACCTGTAGTCCCAGATACTCGGAGGCTGAGGCAATAGAATTGCTTGAGCCCAGGAGTTTGAGGTTGCTGTGAGCTATGACACCACAGCACTCTATCCAGGGTGACAGAGTGAGAGTCTATCTCAAAAAAAAAAAAAAAAATGATGACATTTCACTAATTCAGCAAACATCTATTGAGCTATTACTATGTGCCAGGCACTGTGGTAGGTAGTGGGTTATGGTTCCAGCCCCATGTAGCTGCCAGGCCTGTTAGGGGAATCAGATGAAGTGATGTACATTGAGACATTTTGACTAGGATTCCAAAGGCCTTTGAAATGGAGGTTGAGCATTCTGTAAGGTTTTCCTGATGAGGTGCTATTTGAATAAAATATGGAAAACTCTTTGCAGACCATGAAGCTACTCTGGGCTGCTTTCCTTCAGAATCTCCAGTTCAGCAAGTTGGAGGGGCCCCAAGTGGTTGCCATGGTGAAGACTGAACTCTGAGAGCTGACTTAGCTGAGCTGTCATGGCTGGAGCCTGAACTCCATAAGACCTGACAACTTCTGGCTGATTCTGCTGAGTGAAGGAACCCTTCTCCTTACCATGACCCCGTATTGCAATTGCAGCTTGGGGAGTCCTGTCCTCCATGTCCCAGTTGGACACCAGCTTGGCTCATTTTCTACTCGGTGCTGTCTGACGGGCATGGATCCCACTAAAGGACGTAGCTTAGTGGTGCCAGTTATTTCTCTTGCTGTGATGGAAAAATGTATTGAAAACTCTGTGAGCACTTCTTGGAAACAAGGTTTAATTTCTCCAGATTTGTTGGAATTGTAGTGGTTCACTGTGTGTTTAAATATGAATCCTATAAAAGTTGATTGAGAAATATTCAATTCCTGGTTGCCCTGGGAGTCACGAGGCTTTATTGCATGATTTTGTTGTTGATGTTGTTCATTTGAATTTCTTATACAGCTGTGTTCCCATGTGGACTAGGCAAAAAGCATGTGAGCTGTTTTTTTCATCTGAACAATCTGGAAGATTTCTGTCAGATAATGGAAATTGCCTGTTTTTCCAATCTTAGAGCTGGTTTAGTGTGAGAGAGCAAGATAATGGCAATCGGACCCCCTGATTGTGTGACAAAATTGGTTTTTCAACACTTCCTTGAAACTCAACAATCTAAGGAGGAAAAAGAGGTTGATATTTAAATATTCCACCCGACCAATATTTTACTTACTAACTTCCAGTCAGCAGACACTGAGCACCTCACCTGGGCTGAACCCTGGGCCAGGCAATGGGGACACAGAGGTGGCTAAATTGTGATTTTAATCTAAAACTAAGGCAGTCAAGTAGGTAAGATAATTGCAATTGTGTGAAAAGCATTAGAATGGGGCTTCTGTGTGGAATTCAGGTCTCTCACCTGTTACTGCCTTTGGTGGGCAGAATAATTGTCCCACTACACTGTCCACACCATAATCCCTGGAACCTACAAGTATGTTAGGTTACATGGCAAAGAGAATTAAATATGTAGGAGGAATTAACATTGCTAATCAGATGACCTTGATATGGGGATATTATCCTGGACTAAGCAGGTGGACCCAATCTAATCACACAGGCCCTTAAAATTGGAGAACCTCCCCAGGCCTTGGTCAGAGAAAGAGATGTGACAGTAGAAGTATGGTCAACAAGATGCCATGTTGCTGGTTTTGAAGATAGAGGAAGGGGGCCTCTAGAAGCTAGAAATAGGCAAGAAAATGGATTCTCCCCTAGAGCCTGCCAAAAAAGTACACAGCCCCGCTGTCACCTTGATTTTAGCCCAGTGAAATCCTTGTCAGTTTTCCCACCTCCAGAAACATCAGATGATAAGTATTGTTTTAAGCCACTAAGTTAGTGGTAATTTGTTATGACAGCATTGGGAAGTTAGCATGCTGTTGGCCAGGCATGATGGCTCACACCTGTTATCCTAGCACTCTGGGAGGCTGAGGTGGGTGGATTGCCTGAGCTCAGGAGTTTGAGACCAGCCTGAAGAAG